GCTGCTGTTGCTGCTGTTGCTGCTGCTGTTGCTGCTGCTGTTGCTGCTGCTGTTGCTGCTGCTGCTGCTGTTGCTGCTGTAAAGTAGACACAGTAAAACGAAAACGGAACGGAGGGAAGACAACCAGAGAGTCGGTAGCCTCGCTCGGGTGCTGCTGCTGCTGTTGCTGCTGCTGTTGCTGCTGCTCCTGCTGCTGCTGCAGCAGCAGATGCCAGCTCGACAAAGGGGAAGCAAAACTTTTGCTGCGTCTTGCTGTAGCAACTGCAGCAGCGGAGATACCAGCAGCACAAACCGTTCCTGCTGCTGTTGCTGCTGCTGCTGAGAGACCACAGCAGCTTTAGGCTGCTGCTGCAGCACCGCCAGGACCCCTGCTGCTGCTGCTGCATCTAAAAGCAGCAGCAGCAGCACTAAAGTCTCCTCCCTCAGTAGGGATGCGTCTTGAAGCTGCAGCAGCAGCTGCTGCCAAAGGATGCCTGCTGCTGCAGCAGAAGTACCAGCTGCTGCTGCAACAGAAGAAGCAGCTGCTGCTGCAGCAGAAGCTGCAGCGGCTGCTTCTGCTGCTACGCCAGCGCTGCTGTAGTTTGCTGCATGCGTTTGGGGGTCTGCTGCTGCTGCTGCCTTCCCTATTGCTGCTTCGTGCAAGGAGCAAGCAGCAGCAGCAGCAGCAGCAGTAGGAGCAGCAGCAGCACAAGTGAAGGGCACTCCGTCTGCTGCAGCAGATGCTGCAGCAGATGTTGCGTTCACAGGGGAAAGCGGCTGCGAGATAATTAGAATTTCTGCTCCTGCTGCTGCTGCTGCTGCCTGGCAGCAGCAGCGCTCATGGTTCTCGCCGCAGCACCAGCATATACCTCCTCTGCTGCTGCCGCACCCGCTGCTGCTGCTGTTGCTGTTGCTGCTGCTGCTGCTGCTGCGAGTATTCAGAAGACTCCAAGGAGTTTCCTGCTGCAGCAGTAGCAGCGCTACTCCCTGCCACATGCAGTGAAGTACTTCTTGAGATACAGCAGCATATCGCCTCTGCTGCTGCTGCTGCTGCTGCTGCTGCTGCAGCTGAGACTCTAAAGTGCTATCGCAGAAACCAGGAGTAAATGCATGCAGCAGAGCCTCAACAGTGGCGGGAATGTTCCAGTGCTGCGCAGCAGCAGCCGCAGCAGCAGCAGCAGACCCTGAAGCTGCTTCTCCGTCGCTGGCCTCCACGGAGGTAGCGTGCCTCCTTCTGCAGCAGCTGCGGCTGCTGCTGCTGTTGCTGCAACTGCTGCAGCTGTTGCTGTTCTGTATCCGTTTGCTGCGTCTCCTGGCTGTACTGGAGCTGCTGCTTCTGTAGCTGCTGCTGCTGCTGCTGCTGCTGCTGCTGCTGCTCAGTACTAGCGAATCTAAGGGTCTTTCGCGCTGCCTAGTCCAGCGCTGTGAGCCCAACTGCAACTCCAGTTGGCTTCTTAGATGCTGCTGCTGCTGCTGGTGCTGCTGTTGTTGCTGCTGCTGCTGCTCCTGCTGCTGCTGCTCCTGCAGCTGATGCAGGTCCTCCAGCTGCTGTTGCTGCTGCTGTTGCAGACGGAGGTGAGCTTGTGCAATTGCAGCAGCAGAAGGCTGTACAGCAGCAGGAAGAGTTCCTGCTGCTGCTGCTGCTGCAGCTGCAGCTGCAGCAGCAACGGTAGCAGCACCGCGCAGGCTGTCAATCGCTTCTGCTGCGGCGGCACTGCTGCTGCTGTAAACTGCAGCAAGCGCCCCTACATCCAA